TCTGGTCTGTTTTGCATGAAGATGATGGTAAATGCAGTCGTGTTTCTAGGTAGTCGGCACATAGTTACAGAGTACAATTTCCCTTTTCTGAAAGGAAAAGCCAGTTAACTTTATATTAAACTAAGCCCCTTCTTATTTAAGAATAGGTCACACAGTACTACTCTTAAAAATCTCCAGCAAATCATGAATAGTTATTCATTTTGGTTGGTTTAAAACATTTTTGTATGTTTTTATAAGTTTAGATTTTAAAAAACACTTCCGTGTTTACAAGAAATAATGTGTTTGACTTTAGTAATTTTTAAGAATTCCTCCTAGGGAATGGGAGAGAGGAGGTTGATAAGGTTTCAAAGCTAGGAAAAAAGTAAGGTTTGCAGCTTATTGGGCTGTAGAGGTAAAGTTTTTTTTCATCTTCGTATACAGTTTGGTGTGATGGTTTTTATAGGATGAACAATTGAGAATGAATTCTCTTTTAGGAAGTGTTTCTTTAAACGGACCACCCAGTGGTTACATTTGTGTGGAAGGAAAATCCTCCGCTTCCCACTTGGCACTGAGCCACGTTTGAGACAGGAGCCACATTCAGTCACTTGGATGCAAAGATCTTAACAGCCTGAGCTTCCAGGCATTATTTTTGGCTGATTTTATTGTTTTGCAAGTGATTATGCCTCCTTGGGGCTACTTGTCCCGTCTTTCTTTTGAGCACCAAGTACATAGTGGTCTGTTTTGTTTTTCCCTCTGTCTTAAGTAGTTGGGTCATATTTCTTTTAAAGAACCTTTTAATTATCGGGTAATTTGATATATGGGCCTGCTATGGGATATTATTTGCTTGATAATGCTGTTATCTTCTTAGAATTGATTATGTAGGAGTACAGCGATTGCTGTGTTTCTGTTTTTGCAGCTGCCTTGCCTACAGGTGTTTGGATGATGTTTGGAGTCAATGAATTGCTATTCTGGGAATCAGAGTGGGGATGGTGGGTGCTGGTAGGGGTGAAGATAGGGAGATAGGGTGAGTTTATTTGTAGAAAACATATGACTGCATTGCAATTTCTAAGGTGTGTCCACAGAGGATCTTGGAAATAACTGTTGAATTTAAAGGAATGATGTGGGCATTTTAGATGTATTTTAAGGCTATTGTACTACTCTTGTATTTGTGTACCCATGCTATGTAAGATTTGAGGGAGGACTTTGAAGGAAGAGGTATTTACTAAAATGTTTGTGGCTATCGTAAAAGCTTGTCCAGAATTTGGATGACTTTTTCTTTTCCTTTTTTCTTTCACACACCTTGTTTGGAAACATCGCTTATGGCAAAGGGGAATGATGTGTTGAATACAAAAGTAAAGTCATGTATTATGGTAGCTACAAATTGGATATTAAAAATGATGTTCTTCCATAATTGCTGAAGTAGTTGTTTCATATGACAACATTTAACAACCTGGTAGTTGAAAGTAAGACTAAGCACCCTTATAGATATTTCTGTAAACTATTTCTGGAAGGATCAGCCTTCTTGTGTATTAAACAGATCACTCATTGCATTCACTATGGCCTAGACTTGGTAAATCACTGCTGAGTGAGGAATTTGCATTTGTGCCTCATCACTTTTTAACACATTACTTGTAATCTCTTTCTTTCTTTATTTTGAAAGAGAGAGTGAGAGTGTGCGTGTGAGCAGGGGAGGCGCAGAGAGAAAATGAGAAAGAATCTCAAGCAGGATCTGCACTGTCAGCATAGAGCCCCATGTGGGGCTCGATCTCACGGTTGGTGAGATCACAACCTGAGCCAAAAGCAAGAGTCAGATGCTCAATCGACTGAGCCACCCAGGCACCCCACGTAGATATAATTTTTTAAAAATGCTTTTGTAGTATTCATGTGCCCATATTCCCCTTCCCTACTACCCATTAAAAAGTACTTGACACTTGTAAAAAGGAAGCTGCCAGCCAAAGTGAGACTCTTTGTTTTTATAAGAAGACTTTTGTATCACCAAGCCAAATTTGGGACTTGGGGGAGTTGGAATTAGGAGTCTTTTAAAAAAGATGGTACCCCTAACTCTGCCCTATCACTCCTCTGTGTTATAGTGCTGATTATTTGTGCTAGATAAATATAAGGATTTGAGAATAAGAAGAGTTGGTGTCTAAAGCTCTTCAAATAAGAGAAACCAGGAGATTAAAGGCCCTCATCTGTGCTGGAGGCAGGGAAAGAGCAACGCAACACAGGCTTAACAGTTAAAGGTGTTTCCAGATCTGGGGGAAACTGAAGTCTTTGTGTTTTCAATTTTCAACCTAATTTTACTGTGTGTAAAATACTGTTCTTTTATAAGAAGACTAACAAATCATTTTAATCTCTTTTGAGTCCCTAATGTGTCTGGTGGAAAGTAATCCTTAAAGATAGGCTCAAAAGAAAAGACAAGTTTTCATTTAAGGTTTTAATCTTCGGGACAGAGTACTGAACAGCAACAGATTCTACATTTATACAGAAGTAGTATCTCCAGAATTCCATGATTCCACTAAATGCTGCTGTGAACTGTATAATTAGCAGTAGTGAAAAGCTTTATTTGTTCAAATTATGTGGGTAAATAGTATATTTTACCCTATTTGTAAACTACGTTAGCTGCCTGTCTTCTCTTTGGGAGAGGAACATCTGTTTGGGTAAAATATTAGCCTCAAAAATTTTTTTAGAGCCTTTTGAAATGAAAAGGAGATTTTCTTTTCCTAAAAATATAAGCTATTTATTAAATTAGTAATATTTTATTTTGTTGGTTGGTATATGTATACTCAAAATAGCATCCCTGGTCCCTCTATCCACTAGATCCCAGTAGGTCATCCCATCCTCCAGTTGTGACAAACAATATCTCCAGACATTGTAAGATGTCTTTGGGGACGAAAATTGTCACCTCTTTAGAACCACTGCATTAGCTTCTCTTTTCAGGCTTAAAGACACATAGAAGTGTTCATGTGCTAATGAGTACTGTTTGTTGAATTTTACTATTGGTCATGGTGGAAATTAAAAATTTGTAAATTACTAGGGTTTTAGGAAATTTCTATTTGCTGTTTTGAACTACTTGTTTCAACCAGTTGTTATAAAGATACAATGCCAGGTGAAGATGAGGTTAACATTTTGGGGGCAGTCTTAATTAAAGGCCATTTGTTCCCTTTTTCAACTTCTAGAAAATCTGTGTATTTATGTCTGTGACTGGAGATGCTGGTTGTGGGCCTGCTGTAGACAGCATTAGCCAAAACAGATCCTTTGGGGCCCTACCCTTTCTAAATTTAGTTCATTCAGTCTCCTCCTCTGAGAGCCACCCAGGGCAGGGTTGGGCTGCTGCTTATGGGATGCAGGTAGGCTCTGGAGCAGACGCTTTGCTTTTGACTTTTTTTTTGACCTGTAACCAGCGATTGGTGTTGTGCAGTTGTGAGTGCACTATAGATGATTTGGGGAAGGGGTGGGGGGAAATGCCATTGAGGCAAAGTGTAGAAAGAGGGAGTGCAGGTGGGTGGGGGGGCATTGAGAGAGAAATATTTCTATTTTGACAGCTGAAGGAAATCAGAATAATGACACAAGGTCCTAGCTAATTTTTGGGTGGTTCTGGACTTGTTTCTTGACATTGGCAACTTGTCTGCCAGAACGGTTATCTAGTCTTCAGTGGACCTCGTCTGTCACTTTGTTCTGACTCCAAAAGTAAACAAAGGAATAACTGCAGTATGGGGGATTTTGGTGAACAAGGTGGTGCTTAGGTCTGTATATCCAAAGTCATGTTTCAGCTGAGGTATTTGGGTTGTTGTTTTTAGTTTTGCAGTTCTTTTTGCTCTCAGCAAGAGAGAATGTGCCAGAACTTCTCAAGTAACTTAATTGTGGTCCTTCATCTCTTTCTAAAGATCCAGCTTTAATTAAAAATCATCTTGAGACTGTTAAAAAAATTAAAGTAACACTCTATAATAGAACTTTTGATTTATTTGTTTGCTGGTTTCTGTTTTGATTGCCTTTTTCTACTCTTTGTTGCTACTGGTTATTTTTGAGTACTTTTGCTTAAACATTTTCAGCTTTTTGAAGGATGGCCATGAACGTAAGCAGAACTGCCCTTATTTTTGACTTAGGAGGAAATTTAAATGTAATAGAAGTAATGCGTTTGGAACTTATAAGATGAAGTAAACCATCTCCTCTGCTTCCTGGGTCCCACTGCCCAGCCACACCGATGAAATGGCCAGTCTGAAATCTGTTCCTCTCTTCTTCCTCTTTGCCACTTTTGCTTTTAATAGTACAAAGGCTATAGAATGTTCTTTACTATTCAGATGATTTCTCAGGATCTTGCGTATTAATGTAGATGCAACAGTTTTGTTTGTGGTCTGTAACTAAATGAGACCATCTAGACAAACCTCGTAGGAAAAAAAATAGATCTTTTGTCATCACGAGGAAAAAGCAGCAGCAAAAGTGAGAAACTCTTCTCTTTCTTCAGTGAGCTTAAAGGAAAACTGTAAGGGTACCAGTCAGCACATGGCCCTTCCATGGAAGCAGTGTTTACAAATTCCGCATTAAAGGGTCTTACGAACCCATTTTGCTTTCAGCTTCTTAGAGTTTTGAGGCCAGAAATCTTTACCATATCCTATATGGTATGGAAAGCCTCTCCGTATTTTTTAATTTGCCATTTTGAATATAAACTATAGTTCATAGCTCTTAATATTCAATAATGAATGTCATTTCACCCTACTGGATTCTCTTTATAAAATGAACATGCAGAGCATATGGGTATTGTAAGTCCTTTAAAAGCACTGTGAGAAAGTCACGAGGCCAGGAACCTCACTGTATACCAAGGAGAGAAACACTTCTAATACATCAACATAGCTACAGGCCTAACGGGACTAATTTCATTCTTGAGTAGGTGACACCAATTTTGACTGAATATTGGCGATTACATATCTCCTCTATAATTTACCTTTTTATTTTCTTTCCCTTACAACTTTTAGGTAGAACTTTAGACTTCATAGCACTGAATTAACCTGCACTGAAAGCTGTTTACCTGCAGTTGTTCACTTTTGTTGAAAGTGACCATGTCTCAAGTTCAAGTGCAAGTTCAGAACCCATCTGCTGCTCTCTCAGGGAGCCAAATACTGAACAAGAACCAGTCTCTTCTCTCACAGCCTTTGATGAGTATTCCTTCTACTGCTAGCTCTCTGCCCTCTGAAAATGCAGGTAGACCTATTCAAAACTCTGCTTTACCCTCTGCATCTATCACACCCACCAGTGCAGCTGCAGGTAAGCGTATGAATCCAAGTGTCTTCTTTTTCAAATGTTTTCTTAGCCTGTTTTCTGATCTGATAAGTAGACTGCAGATGTAGGGAACTCTCACATTACCTTCAAGAAGCAGAAGAAAGTATTAACATCCATGCTTCTTTTTTCCAGATATAAAACACTGGTTGTATATTGGGTTGATGGAGGCCTGAGTTGACAGACCACTTCAAAGTGTAAGAAAGAGAATTGAAAAGTAAACTATAAAACCTAGTTGGTTATAAAGTGGTGTCTAGCAGAAAGAATTGAACAGTAAATACCACTCTGGATATTTGTTGTTTTATGGGAAAATTCTGCTTTAAAAATTATTTCCCAGAACTGACCACGAATTCTTGTATGTGTGAGCCTCCATTTTATATGCCTTTGAGATTACATCCCAGGCAAGGGGGCAGCCACATTTACTGGAAAGCCAGAGAGTATTGGCATTTGTTAGTTTTTATTTTGAACAAGTGAGTTTAAGTTGAGGTTCCAGAGGTAGTTCAGAAATCACAGTGAGGACCCATTAGAAATTGAACACTGAAGCAGAGAGTTTTAGAGAGGGAGTAAGTTCAGAAGCATTTAAATCTGCTTATTAAGAAAATAAAAAAGAACTAAATGTGCTTGTCGATGGGGTGCCTGGCCCGCTCAGTCAGTAGAGCACGTGACCCTTGATCTTGGTCATGAGTTCGAGCCCTGCATTGGGTGTAGAGATTACTTAAAAACAAAACTAAAAAAGGAAATAATAGCAAATAAATGTGCTCATCGTTGAGAAAAGACTTGAAACACCTGAAAAATAAACAGACCTGAAAACAAATGTTCTGCTTCCCAACCCTCCCCCAAAGTGGTAAAACCAATTAAATGGGGTGTCAGCATGGGTGTCTCCATACCAGAGTCACCTTCTAACACATCTCTCAACCCCTTGTGTTTGACAATTTCCCTTGCATTTCCTCTTTCATTTCTCATTTCCTTTACTTTATAAATCTGTTCTTAGAGTGTTGGCTCACCCCACTCTCAGCTGCATGGCATCTGTCACACTACCTCTAGACTTCCGTGGATTGGCTCACCGGGTAGCAGTCTTGACTGGTCATGATACCCTAAGAATTCAGTTTTCCCCAAATTTGCCGTCACAGACCATCTTAAAAGGAAATGTTACAGACTGTTTCAGTCCTCTGGGATTTACTGCCTTTTCTTCTAATGTGTTCTTATATCCACATCCTATTACTCCTGCCCACCACGGACATTTTATTTTACTTGTAGAATTCTCTGAAGTAGATAAGGTCTGAGGATGGCAGCCTCTGAGAGAAGACTAGGAATGAGACACTAGCTGTGTAGAAAACGACAGTCATTGTTTGAGAGATGGTATTGGCATGTTGAGTTTTGCGAAATAATGAACAGGGTACAGCTGACAGCTGTTGTGGGAACCAGTGTGTCTGTGCTCAAAAGACCTCCTTGTTATTCCCTTGGTTGGTTATAATACCAGGGCTGCCTCTGATTTAAATCTTGCTTGCCTGCCATGGGTTAGTTATTCCCCTGCCTTCTGTTCTCTCTTTGGAAGACCTGCCCTCTCCTAGGTTACCTGGCTTCAGCTGGTCCGGAGAAGACCCCAGCTGTGTCTTCAGGCAGGTGCCCCCTTGTGGTTTGCAGTTGTGCGTCACTGCTGCTCTGAATCCTTAAGACCTTCCGTTTTCCCCTCTTTTTTCGTGTCCCTGGGAGAGCAGCAGTCCTATATACTGCTAGTTGACTTCATTGCTCTTACGTTATTTTTCAGTTCCTTCTAGCATGGCACACCCCAAAGAGAAAACCCCAATGTGTCTTGTGAATGAGTTAGCCCGTTTCAACAAGATTCAGCCTGAGTATAAGCTTTTGCGTGAGCAAGGTCCAGCTCACTGTAAGGTAAATATTGTGCTTGTGCATTTATAACCCACCAGGAATGTTTTCTGTTTTCTATACTGCTCCACATGGTGCTGTGGTTCAGAATACATATTTTCAAACCACTGAGGCTGTCTTCAGGAGATGCCAAAGTATAGATTTTTGGCAAGTCGCTTCTCTTGACCCTTGCAGAATGGGTCAAAGAAAAGATATGCTTCTTTTTGGGAACTCCAGTTAGCATGTGGTTGTGTTTAGGATTCTGAGTAGAGACCATTCCCAAGCCCCTGTGAATGATTTCCCGTGAATTTTCCAGGCTCTGGGTCTCCTGGCTGCAGCCTGCCTCTGGCTCCTTTCCTGCTTGTTTTCACGTGTACCTTAGGCTGGGCCGGGATAGGAGGGGAACAGGAAATCTGTTTTCCCACTTGTTAGCCATTCAGGTAAAAGGTTTGAAAATGAGAGGTAGAAATTAGTCTCCAAGTGAGTCAGTCCTTTGGACTGTCTCTGACTTCACTTATCCTTGTCCTTCCACTTATCTTAGAGAATGGAAGACTGTAACTTAAATTTTTTACTATTTGCTATTTGGGAATTCAGTCTTTGAAGCTTGTTTGATAATGTAAATCTTGGAACTTAAATGTGTGCATATCTGGCTTTATCTTTGCAGCTGCAGTATGAGAGAGGGTGTGGTATGAGAGAAGGAATCCGGCCTCCTATTTCTGATCCTAGCCTTGCAGTAAACATAATTAAGGATGAATTATTGGTCTCTTTATGCCTCATTTTTCTTGACGTGCAAACCTCAGGCCTTGAATGATATCAAGTTTCTCTTTTAATTTGACTAAAAGTAACATCAGCCACAATCCTAAATAGGTACCTTAGTGTGGTGAGGTGAGTCACCTTTGGTGTCAGGCAAATCTGGGTTTAAATCTCAGCTCCTTATTAACTATGTGACCTTGGGCAAGCTACTGCTGTTTTTTCAACCTCAGTTTTCTCATCTGTAAAATGGGGATAATACCTACCCAAATGGGTCTACTGTGACAATTAAACCAGAGAATATATGTTAAAGTGTGGAGCACAATGCCTGACAGTTAGTAGATGCTTGAGAGATGGTAGCTATTACTGTTATGCATTTCAGAAACACAAATTTCTACTCACATGAAGCTAGTTTTCACATTTTTCTAAAGCATAGTGATATTTGAAAGGTTTCTTTACTTTTGGAAGGCAATTAGTGATTTCCTATAACTTCTGTTTCTTCTACAGGATTTTTTTTGCAGACCTTAACTTTGGGATTCCCTTTTATTAACTGTTCTTGGTATTTTTTGAAATATGCACTTTCTCACCTAACCTTTAGTGATGCGTTAGGTAATTTGGCTGTGTGTTCAATCTGTAACTGCACTTTTATTTACAAGTTGTTCAAAGACGAGAAGTTATTCCCTCCTCGGTGACTATTACACTATTTATTTAAAAATCAGTGGTCTGATGTACTTTTAATTCTATTAAAACCAAGATTCTAACCTTGTTACCAGCCCTCTACACAGAAAGGCAGCAGAGTGGCAACAGCGCTGGTGGGGAAAGTCCTGGAGAAAGGCAAAACTGTTAATGGAATTAACCCTTTTTTGTTTTTTAGCTTTTTCCCTTTAAATGTCTTTCCACGAATGGATCATGAAAATGCCCCAGGGATGGCACAGCGTAGGCTTCTGCTGTCTGGCTGTTAGGCCAGCCAGGATTTTCAGTCCATGCTAGTGGTGCCTAAATGAGTAACCTTGTGAACTGCAGCAGAAATACAGGGACCCCTAGTGTTTCCACTGGGGTGAAGGATTCTTTAATTTTCCCCCTTTAGTGGAAGCTGTGTACTGAGGGAATCCTGAAGTTAAGACCTACAAGAAAAATCAGCTGTGAAGGCACATCGCGCCCATCCCTTTAGGCACCAAATTTAAGTGATCTGGACATGTTCAGAGGAGCACATTCACATTAAATTATTCACAGTAAATTATTTGCAAATGAAACAGTGATATCCAGTGATAAAGAAAAGCAGAAAAACAAAAGCTCCAGTTGGTTTTGCTAAATTCCTAAGTAGTGAGTCTCAAACTTTGCAGTGCGTCAGAATCACTAGGGGAGCTTATTAAAGAACACTTGCCTAGGGTCTCCACTCTTGCTTCTCAGTCGAAGTCCGTGGACATGTATATTTTACTAAGCTTCCTAAGATAAGCACCAAAGTTAAAGAATCACTGTGCTATGATGGGTCATAGTTTTTGACAGAATATTCAGTTCTGATAGGATTAACATAACCTAATTTCAAGAACAGAGTGTGTATTTGGGTAACCTTTATACTTAAAAAGGAATAAAGAGGCTTGCCATTGTCAGTGTTTGCTGAGGGCAAAATCAGCTGTTTTGGATGCCTCCTTGAGTTCAGAAACGTTTCTAGATCTTTGCTTGCTACAGATTGGATTTTCTTCCCCAAATGGAGGCAGTGTCTGAATAGTATAGTCTTAGGAAAATAGAAGGCAACTTTTTAGAACCTGGCTCACATTCCCAAATTCATTCTAGTTTTTGTCCTGCTAGGGTTGTTTTCAGACGAGACCACAAACACGAGAACATCAAAACAAACGTCTTAATTTGCATGAGATACTACTTTGTGTCTAAATCAAGTTTGCTGAATTTCTTCCCTGAGAAGTAATTGGAAGACAACTTCTGTTTGGCTGACTTCCAAATTAGCATCTAATATTTTAATATAGGGGAAAACATTTTTTTTTAAATCTCTGTACTTACCTCCATTTTTCAAAGCATAGTTTTGTCATAGAGTGTTGTTCAATGCCAGTCAATGAGACATGTATCTTTTTGTGTTTATAAAAATAACAAAAAATGGGAGTGAGGGAGTAATTTGCCAAGGTAATGACCAGGCCTTTTAAACCATGACCATAAACAATGTTCCAGGTCCAAGCGACATATTACAGTCAACCTCAGGTATCGTGAATTGAGAGCTCACAATTTTCATTTGTAGGTGTTTACAGTACAGCTAACACTTGGAGATCAGCACTGGGAAGCTGAAGGAACTAGTGTTAAAAAAGCCCAGCACACAGCTGCTGCCAAAGCTTTGGAAGGAACAAAATTTCCTAAACCCATAGTCCGCCCTTTTCGTAGCGAAGGAAGGAATCCAGGTATTATGCGTGGGCCAAGACAGGTTCCTTTCAGAAGTGTGTCTAGAGGTACCCATTTAGTATGTATATGCATTCTTTCATAACTAACTTACTGACTTTGCAAGCACGGTTTCTACACTACCAGTGGCAAACGCTTACCTTTTTAGAATCCTTAACCATACTCCAAAGCATTGGTTCCCAGTCTCTGGTCTCTTGACTCCTGAGGATCTGGAAAGAAGGTGAGAGGTAGTGGTGTCACCAAACAATGGCTAAGATTGCAGAGAAGCCTAGTGAAAAAATTGCCAAGAATGTAGGCCTTAGCTGGAATCACTTCAACCCAGTGTGGAAATACCAATTATAACATGTTGATCAGAAACGCAGATTGCCATTTACATGTCTCCTGATCATCAAAAAGAATGAGAAAATGACTTAAGTATGTATTACTTAAATACTATTAGTAGATAACACCTCTTCAAACAAGGGACCGAAGGAGGGAGAAGACTAATAAAGAAGAGCTTCTGGTAAAAGCTTGGGGACCATTGACCTGTTGCTGTGGATGGAAGTGGCTGAGCCACGTTACCACCAGGCACACGAAGCCATCCCAGTCCCTTTGTATGTAGGAAGGAATCCGGGAGATTTCAGCCACACCTTCCTTGTTGCTTTTGATTTCTTTGTGGTATTTCAGATTCATTCTCCACTGCAGGTAAATTTTATGGGTCAGAACTGTTCTTGAGATGATTCAGGTTATGCTTAGTAAGAACCTGTATGAATCCTATAAAAAATATAATTCTGAAAGTAAGAAGAGAGAGGCTGGTTATTTCTGTGACCTTTTGATTTTGCAAATCCAAAAATATTCTTATAAATTTGATTCATGCACTAAATTTAGTTGAACCAGTTCCTAGTACAGAATCAAGTCTTTTTTGTTGCTGTTGTTTTCTTCTACATACCTCCTAAAGAGGCATTTTAAAGTGGATTTTTGTGTGCATTTAAGTTGAACTTTGCCATTGCTAGTGTTGTTCTGTGTTTGATGTGAAAGTGTTGTTTTTAGATGTGATTTTGCGCTCACACTACTCTTTCCAGCCTGGTTTTTCTTTTAAATGTTTTTAAAGGTTTATGAATTGGATGAACTGAGAGAAAAGAAAAATTGGGAAACGAACAGTGTGTGTTTTCTACAGTTGATGATTGTGAGATAACCCAAATTATACTTGGCTCTTATTTATATGGAAACAGAACTCCTTTTCCTAACAAGTATGCTCACAGGTCAAATCCCATCGTAAATACTGAGATTGGAAATATCTGAATGTTTTGTGACCCTCATCTGACTTCTCCAGATAGAATTTACTTGCCTCCTCCTTCTTAATGCCACACCTTTCCTTATAGCACACCTCCTGTTGGTCCTCTGGGGGTAAGAATTGTGTCCCTTAGCACCGTGCTTTCCATCCAGTTACTGCTTAGTAAGTGCATTGTTCGATGAAGTAGTGTGCAATAAACATACTTCTAAGTGTAAGCCAATAACCCAGCGAGTCAGTACAACCAGAGTTATATCGGCTAAGGATTCCCAAACAGTAAAATGATTTGGACAGTCACATGGGATTTTTTTTTTTAATCGTGGAATTTGATGTGTATTGGAACTGATATCTAATAACTGGAATGAGTGACTTTCTCTGGTGATGTCTTATGCTAGTTGCTGCCCCTCTAATAGCTCTTACACTGTATTTTGTGCTGTTGACTGTGTATTAATATCTAGAAATCACAGCAGATTCTTGGATTTCCTGACCTGATGCCTAGCAGTGAAGTACTTAGATACTTTCCTGAAATGCATTATGAATCCAGTTAGTAGAAAGCATGCTATTCTTTCTGATTTTAGTAACTGTCATTCTCATGTCAGAAAATAACCAGTTCTCTGTGTTGCTTCTGTATTGCAGAAAGCATAACCCCTACTGTAGAGCTAAATGCACTGTGCATGAAACTTGGAAAAAAACCAATGTATAAGCCTGTCGACCCTTACTCTCGGATGCAGTCCACCTATAACTACAACATGAGAGGAGGTGCTTATCCCCCAAGGTATGTGCCTGTTTTACTTATTTATAGGGCAAGAGAGAACGGAGGAGGGGCAGAGAGAGGAGGATAGAATCCCAAGCAGGCTCCACGCCTGGCACAGAGCCCAACACGGGGCTCCGTGTCACAACTGTGAGACCGTGACATGAGCTGAAACCAAGAGTTGGACGCTCATCCGACTGAGCCACCCAGATGCTGCTGTTTGTTTTAAGTACAGGTGAAGATATATCTCATTTCTGACATGGAAGAAGAAAATCTGTAGACTGTGGAGCACACAACGATTTGGTCATCTTCAGGCTTGTCAAATGCTGAAGTCATCTTAATCGTGGTGCCTTTGGAACTGTGTCTTGATGCCTGCTCCTTTACCTTCTGTCACTGGCAAGAGCCTGAGTGTGCTCCTCACTAGCAGTATGGCTGTGCCCTGAAACCATCTGGTTAAAGATCACCTTTCTAACTGCTTTTTGTAACTGAGTCATATTTGAGCGTGATTCCCACAAACACCAAGATTCTCAGCATTCATAGATTTGTTGATTATTGTTTATTGGGTACTTTTTGGCTTTGAATTTATGTGCTTGGTAACAGCTTTGGAGTACAGGTCCAGCAAAATACTAATCGAAACCCGAAACTATGTGTAAAAAGCCTCCTGTTGGGCAATCGTGAGACGTTAGCGGATAGATTGATGATGGGAATGGAAGTCTTCCTTTCCCTGCCTGACTTGAATGGAGGCAAAGCCACTTAAAAAATGTAAGCTCTGGGGGCGCCTGGGTGGCTCATTCGGTTAAGCAGCCGACTCTTGATTCCAGCTCAGGTCATGATCTCACAGTCTGTGAGTTTCGAGCCCTGCATTGGGCTCTGCGCTGTCAGATTCTTGGGATTCTTCTCTCCCCCTCCCTCCACCCCTCCCCTGTTCGTTTTCTCTCTGTCTCTCTAAATAAACTTTAAAAAATGTAAGCTCTGACATGTAGAGGCCAGGTTCTGCCAGGCTGTAGGCTGTTGGGATTTCTAGAAATGAGGGTCCTTCCAAAAAAATTTCTGTTAAAAAATTCCCAGGGGCACCTGGGTGGCTCATTCGGTTAGGCATTAGACTCTTGATTCCGGCTCAGCTCATAATCTCGTGGTTTGTGGGTTTGAGCCCCACACCGGGGTCTGCGCTGTGTGGAGCCTCCTTGGGAGTGTCTCTCTCTCTTTCCCTCTCTCTCAAAATAAATACATAAAGCATTAAAAAAAAAATTCCCAGGCTTTTCTGGAGACAGGCAAGGGTGTCTCTCAGATATGAGAAAATAGAGCAAGTTTTCTACCTTAAGCCAAAGTCTAATTTTGTAAATTTGGGTTACATTATAAATTGAACTCATGTAGTCTATAAGGTGTTTTTGTGGAATGTAAGTTTGCTTGCTGGACAGTATTTGCCTATTCTGTGTGCCAGTTCTAATCCAGTGTAAGCTTGTGAAGTCTCTGGATATACCGATGAGGAGTCATTATTGGCAAGCAGGTCCTGATGTGATTAGGACCCGTGATGAAGGAAAGACCTGGGATTTGCCAGGGAGCGTATGGGTGACTTACTGATCTGAGATTGTAATTCTGCTAAGACCCCCTTTTTACTTTCAGGTACTTTTACCCATTTCCAGTACCACCTTTACTTTATCAAGTTGAGCTTTCCGTGGGAGGACAGCAGTTCAGTGGGAAAGGAAAGACAAGACAGGCTGCAAAACACGATGCTGCTGCGAAAGCCTTGCGGACCCTGCAAAGCGAGCCCCCACCGGAGAGGCTGGAGGTGAGGCGGGTGGGCGAGCAGGTGAGTGGTAAAGGTGTCCTCTCCAGTGGCTTTTTCTGAGAAGCACTGAGAGCTGTCCGGAATTTTTGTGATTTGGCAGCTTGCATGATTTTGTACTCTATGGCCTTTTGGCCTTTCTTCCTTCCCCACCCCCCCTTAAAAAAATGTCTTAGCAAGAAAGTCAGATGCCTGCTTTTTCACTCTATGGCATAGTTTTGAGTGAACATGGTAGAAAGATTGTGACTCAATTGAGTTGTGAAGCACATGCCTGGAGGAATAAAGATTACTCTTGTCAGAACCTACTGCGGTTTATGGCACCAGCTTAGAGAATTTTCTGAAGCCGTTTTTGACCAGCTACTCTGACATATCAGAGTGCCGGTTATCTGTTGCTGCGTAATAAGCCATTACAAACTTTAGTGGCTTAACCACCTGTAGGCATTTATTTTGCTCACAAATCTGCCATTTAGGCAGGGCTTGGCACCCAGCTGGTCCCTCCCCTACACAGCTCTGGCTAAGGTGGCTCCACAGGGGCCAGAGGATCACTTCCAAGATGGCTCCCTCACAAGACTGGTAAGTTGATGCTGGCTGTCTGCTGAGACTGAAGCAGGGGCTGTGGTCCTGAGAGGACCTCAGTTCCTCTCTTAACTACCCTGTGCAGAGACTGCTGACCCACGGGATGGGATGGTGCCGGGTTCCAAGTATCCTAGAAGACAGGAAATGGAAGCAGCTTCCAGTTTTTAAGGCCTGGGCCCAGAAATCCCCCACAGCATTGCTTCTGCTGTATCTATAGGTCAAGCAGGCACAGAGCCCAGATTCAAAAGGAGGAGATACAGAAACTCACTTTTTATAATTAAGCAAAATTCACATAACATAAATTCACAGTTTTAACCAGTTTAAGCGTACGGCTCAGTTGTTTTTATTTGGTACATTGACAATGTTAAGTAAGAACCTCACTTCTGGATGAGAAGAGTGTCAGAGAATTTGGGGGCCAGGTTTTAAAAATCCCACAGTAAGAATAGGTTTTTAACTCCTTGTGGCTAAATGGGAATCGAGGTCTTAGGAAATCAATGACTGTTTTTCGTTATGGTGTGTTTGCCTTTTCCAGTGTAATCACACCTTTTACAATAGAGATAATCTCTTTCCAGGGTCCACTGAGGACCAAATAGAAGAGACTGTCACTTAGAAGAGGGGATTTCATGAAGTTAAAGGGATAAGCTTCTCACTGGTGAGATTTGTTAGAAGCAGTAGGTAGTGTAATTTGAGTCATCTTGGAGGCTTTTCATTTTTTGACTTCGCCGCGGTGCTGATCTAATTGGAGTCAGATGGGCTGGTTGTTTCTCAGCTGCTTCTCGCCAGCAGTTGTTAAACGATTGCTGAGCCCTGGCATGTGGGTTGTCTGCTTCACAACCACTTGAGAAGTTTAAAAAAAATTCCTTGGTCCAACCCACACGATTTCTAATAGGAGTCTGTCTTTTGCCTTTTTTTTTTTTTTTTTTTTAAAGTGTGCTCTTGCAGTAGCTCTAAAGCTCGGTCAGGGTTTGGGAACCACAGGTCCTAAGTCCTAAGTATTATCGGTGCTTCCCCCTCAGGCAGCCACCCCACTTTGAATGCTGCCTGGAAGTACCCACCCTTTTGCTGAAAAGGGAAGGTACCTGATTGGTGTCCCCGGTCTGACCCCATTACCCTGGAGCAGCGAGGTTGGCTCTGGCCTGAGGGCAGGGGCTGGCGCAGATGCACTCTCCTGGGCTGGGTTCCACTGGCTCCTCTGCCGTCTGTATGGAGCTTTGCTGAGAGTAATGTTAAATCTCCTTGTGCCCCTGTTCTCGTTCTGTATGGTTTGAAGTAGAGACATTGCCCTTCAGAAAAGGCTCAAAGACTGGGCTCACCCAGTGCTTCAGAAACAAGAGTCATTGAGTCAGATGAGACTTGCTTTGAGATAATAAATGAAACACTTGGCCTCCCACCTCAACCAGGCCTCCTGATAGCTGGGTGGTAGGGCGTAAAGAGACATTTTTAGAAGGGATCTTTAATTTTTTTCTTACAATGAATGTATGTAAACTATAAAAATTTTTAAATTAAAAAACAAAAATCGTTTATAGATTTGCTGCTTAATGGATGGGTGATCACTATTAACATTTTGGTGGGTGTCAGTGCATACGTAAGTAAATACGTGTACCTGTCTAATGACAAAAGTGGGAGGATATTGTATGGTAACCACTTTTTTTCACGGAACTGCTTATCATGAATCTGTTGTCATGCCATTTACTTCTAATTCCTTGGAGGACTCAAGTTCAACTTGCATCTAAATACTTTTTAATAGCTACAGTGTGTTTCATTGTGTAAACATACCAGTTTATGTTTTCAACAGAGGCTTGGTTATTTAGATTGTTTGCAGTGTTCCCTTTTAGGAAATAGGTAGTGAGGAACGTTGTTGTAGTAAATCTTTGTGCGTGTCTATGACTATTTTTATGAGCCCAGACATGGAAGTAAATATGCCACTTGCATGGCAGTAAATATGACCAAGTTCTCAGAAGCATGGTGCCACTAAGAAATCTGCCACCAGGGTGAGAGCAGCCTTTTTGCCTGTGGTCTGCCAGTATTGGAAATTGCAGGTTTTTTTTAGAGTTTCTTTATCTTGAGAGAGAGGGAGAGAGGATCCCAAGCAGGCTCTGCACTGCCAGCATAGAGCCTGATATGGGGCTCAGACTCATGAACTGTAAGATCATGACCTGAGCCAAAACCAATAGTCGGACGCTTAACCAACTGAAACACACAGGCACCCCAGAAATTACAATTTTAAACAAATTGTTGATTTTGCTTTTGAAAGTATGTAGAGCATGTGATTGTGTGATAGATCAATTTGTCTTCTCTAGAACATGGCCAATAAAAAGCCAGCAATTTGTATCTATAAAGCAGGGGTTGTCTGGTTCCTTGACAACAGGCATCATGCTAGGCTTTGAGGAAAAATCTGCCCCTTCCATGTTGGGGCTTCATCGAACAGAGCTGACAGATGTTAACATTAGAATCATCAAAGAGTGCAGCGAGTACTAAGGTAGAAAGTAGCAAGTATTAGAAGGGCGCCAGATGTCTCATTTAGATTGGATAACAGCGATGCATTCAAGGAAGTTCTTTCTGAGGAAGCATCATTGAAGCAGAGACTAAAGATAAGCAAAAGAACAGCAGGAGCAGCTTGTGCAAAGGTCCTGCCTTGGAAAAATGCCTTTCTTTGGGGTGCCTGGGTGGCTCAGTAGGTTGGGCTTCCGACTTTGGCTCGGGTCATGATCTCATGGTTCACCAGTTCGGGCACTGACCGCATCGGGCTCTGTGCTGATAGTTCAGAGCCCGCAGCCTGCTTCAAATTCCGTGTCTCCCTCTTTCTCTCTGCCCCTCCATCACCTGTTCTCTCTCTCTCAAAAATAAATAAAACATTAAAAAAATTTTTAA